AAAGCAGTCAGAATTAGATGTGTTTTTGCATTTAAAGAATTTTAAAGATGTTGAAAAATGTGGGATGAATTGTTTATTGATTTAATTAATAAAATAATACAACTATCTAAACAGAAAACTATTGTGCATCATTTTAGATCCTCCTGAAACACAAACACATGAACCTTATTTCAAGTTACTTTATACATTTTTTTTTTTCAAAACAGTGAAGGATTACGATTTTGCCATGCTCAGACTTAAATTTGAATATAATTTTCTTTTTTTCTCCATTTTTTATAATTTTGAAAAATTTAGGGGTGGGGAGGGAAAACGGCTGGGCCCCTTTGAATCCGCCAGTGTCTGGGCCTAAAAGTCTTCCTAGTACGTCAGTAGGCCTATTTATTAGGTTTGGTTTTTCAACACCAACTATAATTTTTTTTTTGTTGTAAAAATGAGGGGGCCATGCAGTAGCATGAGGAAGGGTGGGGATAAAAAAAAAACTTGCACCCCAGGTTGTCCGACGCTAGCACTAGAAAATTTTCTGACCACAAAAATCTACTCAAGCACTAAGTAGTTTAAAACAATGCCAGTGCCAGAAATTCCCTGACGAGGAGATAGTACCCAACAAAGGGGTCTACATTTACCCCAGTGCCACCATGGTTGGTGCTGAGGTGAGCAACTTTTAAAAACAGACACCCTTAGATTCCCGGAAATGGCAGTTCCAGATTGTAAAAATATATTTCAAAGCAGTGTTTTCAATAAAATACATCTTCGAGTCTGCTCCCCTAGATCCGCCACCAATGATTAGACATCGCACCATATCAGCTTCCCCACTTAATTCGTTAACCCGAATCAGTCTCCCTTCCCCATGTCTACGCCACTAGATACAATGAGATACACTCAGAAAAGGCCATACTCTTGTTAACAGTGCCAGAGTAGGTGGTCATGCTTCTATAAGTACAGAAAATCGGCCAGAAAAATGATTTATTTTTTAGCAATGTTACATGGGCCGGATTAAAATTGTTGGCAGGACGGAGTTGACCCGCGAGCAGTGGGTTGAATGCCGGGGGTCATAGTGAATAATATTCAAAGCAAGTTACTGCATAGCACCGTCAACAATATAAACAAATAGATAAATAACAACAGTGATGATGATTTATGAGAGGAGTTTTTACTTTCCAATCTACAGCAATAAGACACAGGGAAGATTTGAGATGTAAAGAAAAATGTTAAAATTATGAACACTGCAACTTACCGAAGTGGGACTTCACTGTTAAATTGGGTATTAGTTGCACAGGTATTAGCAAACATGATTCAAAAGGCAAAGTATGTCCGGAAATTTTGAAACATTAGTTACCATTAAGTTAGGAGCATTTCCTTTACACAAAAAGTTTGTTTGTCCAATTAACTAAAAAGTGCTACTTAAATGGTACTGAATTAACAATACAATAAAAATTGTTTCAGTCCATTATGTATGTAAAATGCAGGAGAGCACTAAATTGCTCTCCTTGAAAATTTCACAGCTTTGAATAGATGCCCCCACCCCCAGGAGTGGATCCAGGTGTCCAAATTAGGGGGCGGGCGGGCGATCGAGAGACAACACTACCCTAGGGGGATCCAGTATGCCCCGGGAAAATTTGTTTTCTAGACGCACGGAAATTAATTCTGAGGCATTTCAGGCAATCAATAATCGAGGGAAAACCGGCCTCCCCTTCCTCCCCCCTCCCCGCAAATCCTCCCCTGCCTCTCACTCCAGAGCCTCATTTAGAATAAACCCTCTCGAAGCAGCACCTGGAGGACGCAGAATATCGTATTTTTTTTGGTGTCACCTGTGTATAACCACACCTATTTTAATCTCCAAACTGTTTCCAAAGTTTTTATCTATTTTGAAACATCCATTATATTTGCAAACATAAAAATTAAGAAATTTCAACTTTATCGGCCGATTATTAAACAACAAACAACTGGTAATACTTGTATTCTCTAGGAAAACTTTCATCAAAACAACGTATTACCTAGGAAAATCAACATTTTTTCGCGTAGACATCTGTATATTTTCTGCGTTAAATATTCGATCGTGTGGGTTTTAACAATCATTTTAGTTTATTCAAATTTAAATATTAATTTAATATACTAAAATATAGTGAGCATATTTATTTATCTATAATTCAATCAATAATAAAAGCCAATATTGACTAAAAAATATTCAAGGTCTAATTTGCCATTATTACTACTCAGTGCTCACGACTTGCTACTCTAGCAAATCACGCAACAACGTTGATCACACACACGTAAACAGAACCCAGAACCATGTGATACAAAGTTCTCGCATGGGCAGATAACGTATGCCATTCTACAGTTAAATTACAATAAAAGTAAGTATTACAACTTAAAGAAAACTTATGTTTTATAGCACTAATATTTTCACAAGTTTTTATTCTGAAATTATAACAGTGAACACTGCATAGCGGTATCATTCTTTCTATAACCTTACTAGCCTCCAAGCAACAAGACGCCGTGCAGCGAGTTTACAACCATGTGCGTTTTGTGATGATGTTTGTGAAGCTACTCGCGTGACTTTGAGGAAAAAAGTGTTTGTTATTGTTTTTAGCGAAGTGGGTTCAAATATGTACAATGTGTTTCAAACATTGTTTATGAATGAACGTAATGTGAAAATATTTATTTAAGCAACCCAAACCATTGCTTAAATGTCGTAGGAATCCTTGTCGCACTGTAGTGAGTATAATTACAATACTTGGCCAGTAAACCTAGGCTAATTAATTGGGATAGCCTGGGTTTAACCGGACGATTTTTGCCTTTGCGGTTCGCGATCTAGAGTTTTTTATTAGCAGGTTGATGACCGGTGTATAGGCTGCACCCTGAATTTCATGGTGGAAATCACGTATAAAATTTGCGGCTTTATACACCGGAATATATTGTAGCTTTAGTTCCAAAATTTGATAGATTTTGATTATGGACAAAGTTTCAAAATATAATTTTTGTCATTAATTTTTGTTTTAGTTGCCTCAGGGTAAATTAAGGAGCACGATTAGTTGTTCTCCTGAAAGCATGTTCAGGAGTGCAGAGAAGAGAGATTGCTCTCGCTCTCCTTAAAAAATGATGGACTGTTGTTTAGACATAAGTCATCATGAAAATGTTACTAATGTTAGTAAAGACACAAAGCCCGATAAGAACGGGTTGAAGATGTCAGGAATAGATACAAGCATTTTTAAACTCTGTTTTAATCTTTATATTCATAATGATATTGTAAAGATTTACAATGATAACAAACTACTGGATCTCAATCTAAGAATAGTCAAAAAAGAACGACCAATAAAAAAGACAATTATTACTCTATTAATCATCAACCTATAACTGTTTGAGTACTGTTTAAATTTTTTAATTGATTTACAGATCCTTCGATCATGTAATATTTTTAAAAAACCAGAGCACAATCCTAGTTTTGAACATGTGAATGTATGGATAAATTTTACTCCTCAAATCTGTTTCATCTCATTAATTCACAAACTGATTTTCTTAAGTTGCAAATAGTAGGTTTGCTAAATAATTAATAATAATTAATAACTTAATAATAGTATATAAATACACACATTTTTAATAGTAAAAATATTAACATTCAGTAAATGATTGAATTTTGCATTAAAATATTAATAAACAAACAAGTAGTAATGGGTATTAACCAACCAAAATCAAATATAAAAGAGGTAAATTTGGTGTCCAAGAGGGGAAAGCAGACAAAAACCATCCAGACAATAACCACCTACTGTACTGTAAAGCCAGATAAAAACAAGCCCACCCAACATTGTGCACCCCACAGTGCACCCTACTTTAACAATGGTATATTCCATTTTGGGTGGTTTTCGTGCCGGGGTGGTTATTGTCCTTAAGATAATTCAACACTCACCATCTTGCAAGTGGCTGGGTCAAGTTCAACATCATCCTCTTCATCTTCTTCATCACTACAACTTTCAACTGTAGCAAGCTTAATTGTTACCTGGGTCACAAAATTAAAATACAATTTGCTGAGATAAATCATTCCTTAACACATGTAAATAAATTGTTTAAACATGATAACCGAACAAAGGTGGTAGATGTGATTTGCAAATAAAATCAAGAATTGGAATGGTGAAAGCAACATAAAAAATGAACAGAAAATAATAAAAAAAGAAATTTATTAACACTGTTGTATGGAGTCATTAATAACATTAACATATGGGTCAAAGATGGTGGACAATGTGGAAAAACGAAATAGGTATAATTGTAACCATTTAAAATTTAGATATGGAGAAGATAAGTTGGAAACAGAAGAAGGGGATTGGACATATGTGTTGAGAGGAAATAAACTGTTAAAATAAAGAATTTAGAAATGGATAGATTGAAAGCGCTCTCAAGGAAGAATGTGAGTGTTGATGTTAAATGACATGAAAAAAAAATAGCGCGACAGGAATGTGGAATAGACGGCCCTGGAAGGGCTGGTTTTTTGGAGCTGGTTTTTGATTTGACAGACCCTAGCTACAGGCCCAAGCTACCCTTAAAATGTATATACTGTATTATTAAAAAATCTCTAATGAGATCCAGCGGGCCGTCATTGATGCACAGTAGAGATGCATCTTTAGATCTCTGATCTTGTTCACAAATTCACGGAATAGCACTGTCTCCTAAGAATTTCGTAGGACACCTGGGCTGTGTATATATATTGCCTTGGTTTGGTTCTGTAATCATTAGAGGTCGTGGGACTAGTTTGGGCCCTCTCTAAGCTGGTCGAACGTTTCGTTTGGGTCTGTACCCTAGCTGCACTGATGAGGCCTGGAAGGCCGAAACGGATCCGTCTGCAGATATTGGGATTCCTTCCAGTGGATGCTTAGTTTATTTTAGAGATGGTAGACAATGAGGAAAAATCAAAATAGGTACAATTGTAAGCACTTAAAATTTAGATATGGAGAAGATAAGTTGGAAACAGAAAAAGGAGATTGGACATATGTGTTGAGAGGAAATAGACTGTTAAAATAAAGAATTTAGAAAAGGATAGATTGAAAGTGCTCTCAAGAAAGAATGCGAGTGTTGATGTTTGATGGTTTTTTTGGAGCTGGTTATGTGTCTGTTACTGTCATTGTTTTGAAGGACCTCAAGGAAACAAGCCTCAGGGCTTACAGAGCTACCCCTGGCATTCCTTTCTCATTTTATTATTCTGTGCACTGAATTTTGTTTTTGTCTTTTTTATCAATTGTACTTTGATATTTTAAAATTAGAGTGCAATAAATATTACAAACAAACTGATTTCATAAGTGGAGGGTCTATGCCAACTCAGCCCACCATGGCTGCTTTTGAGGCAAGAACATTTATGATTATAGCACCTATTTATGATTATAGCACAAATATGACCGAAAACTCGGTCCTCGCAGCACTAGTGCTGCATTGTACTGGATTTGTGTGTACAACGCGTTTCCAGAGTTTCTGTAAAGGTCCTCGGCTGGCGGGAAAATTTGAAAATGTGTCACAGCGCATTACGCGCTTTTATTCGAGTGGCATTGCACATATAAATAGCGTCCTCTATGCATAAAATGTTGAGCACGTGTGTGGCGGTGTCCATGGCATGAACCTGAGCATATTTTATGGTTCTCGGCATACTTTGCTGGTCCTCGGACGGTCATCTGATGACTGTTTTTAGTCAGGGTTCTCTGGACATAACATTTACAGGGAGGTGTGTGTTGTGTGTATATATGTGTGTAGTGTGGGTGTATGTGTGCGTATATATGTATTACATATATATGTATGTGTTTGTTGTGGGCTTTTACTCTTTTTGTGTATACACATATTTTCCTTAATGAATTTCCTGCCACTACTGTATTACTTTGCTTTAAAATTGTCTCCCTTTTGTGTAAGCCCTCTTGAATTATCTTTTTTATAATTTTTTATTCTTATTTTGTACTCAGGGTTGTTTGATCTTTGTTGCTTTTTTATATCTGTTTGAGAATTTGTGGTTGAGTATTTTTATGGATTTGTTGTCCAGTATTTTAATGTATTTCATTATCTGATTGAGATTCCCGGTTTTGTATTTGTAGTTACAGTAAGTATTTTAATGTATTTTTATGCCTTCTCTTTTTATACCATTTTTAGCTGTTTTTTAATGTCCCTCATTTGTTATTTTACATTCAATTTGGCACCTTGCCACAATTTGTAAATTTTGATAGAATAAAGTATAAAGAATTAATTCTTAATGTAGGCTTACCTCAATGCAAGATCTTTTTTCGGGCAGAATCCTCACAATCATTTCATGACTTTCATCTACAAAAAGTTTCGCCCGTTGGTAAAAGAGCCTTGGCTCATAGCCTTTCCTATTCTGTGACCATTGCAGAAGCCTCACAACAAGTCGGTAGAATATGCCTTCAGGTAGGAACCCATTGAAGTCAATGTACAGGATGACCTTTGACTGAGATGCCACCGTCTGATCTTTGCACACCGTTTCATCATCTTGCTTCTTTAGCAGGGATGGTACATAAAAGAGACGAATGCCTTCCTCGGTTGATTGGACAACATCAGCTGGCATCTAACACAACATTAAATCAAAGCATACAATGAGAGTAATGACATTAGTTCCTGGATAGCAGTGCAAGTGTAGTCCAAAATAAATGCATTAAACTGAATGGAAAAGTCTTTTATAGCTGTGCTGGGTTGGATTCAGAGATGTCCGCAAGGGAGGGAAGTGGGCCCCCCCGAAAGTGGGGCTGATGCCCCTGCGAAATGTATGTTTCCTAGACAACCAAATATAACCTCCGAGGCATTTTTGGTGATAATTTTTTCTTCTTCTTTCTTTTTCTTTTTTTCTTTTTTTTTTTACTTCCTAAAAGGGGACCTAGGGCCAGGCCACCCCCTCCCTCACCCACAAAAAAAAAATACAATTCCCCTCTAAATCCTCCCCTGCTGTGTACCATTATTATTTTGGAAGAGAGGTTTAATTTGCTGGTCCATGTGCACAGTGACTATACATTTATCGAAAATAAAAATATGAAAATGACATATTATATGTATCTGTACCTCATCAGATTCAGTTTTCAAACACAGCAAGTCAAACTTCTGCATTAGCTCTGACAAGAATTCAAACTGATCGAAAAATTTATGCCACATGTGTCTGAGTAGCCTCTCTTCCAAGATTCCATGCTCATGAAGTCTTTCCAACGAACTTTCGAAATGGGAATACTTATAGTAAACAAACAAAACATTTTATTTGTGAAATCTATATTTGTACCGGAGTAGTACTGATGGTAGTGGTAGTGATGATGCTGTTTATAATAATATTAATGTAATAATAATAATTTAATAATAATAATATTGGCACAGCAGTTGTGTTTTGGTCTCTAAAACTTAAGGTCAGAGGTTTGAACATTTGTTGTAGGGAAAATAGCTGATTATTTATGATTAATTAGTTGATTTATCTCAGAATGCTACTTTGAAATAAATTATGAATTATAAATAATTAATACAGATTTGTTTGATAATTTGAATGACAAAAATAGAATACAATCGATGTCTCATGATACA